TATATATATATATATATATATGCGCATAGATGTGTGATGGTCGGTGTCCTGGCACGGGGTTGTGTGCTCGTCCGTTCGCTTTTCGGCCGACGAGAAGACCATCGGGGGGGGGGGGAGAACAGTGAGAAAAAAAAAAACAAAAAAAAACACATATAGATATACATATATATATATATGTATATACATCCCCGTGATGACGGGTCCGTGTCCCGCCCACCCCCCACTGCACCCCCTTCGTCCGGGCCCCGGCGTGCGAGAACCCCCACCAGCAACTCGAGGACACTGTTACCACCTCGCATCGCTTCGGCCACGTCTCCTATCTGACAGGCAATTGCAGAGCCGGCGTCTGCGGTGGCTTTCGCCAGGCTACTGGCCGCTTTGTCGAGGCCATCGCAGTAAGACCGAGTGGAATCCTCCATGGCCCTGCTCAACAGCGTGGCAGTGGTACTCGCCTCCTCCCTCCTCGCCTTTCCCTTCTCCGTTCGGCGGATCTTCGCAGCACTGTCCGATTTGTCAGCACACCTCTCCTCCGATCTACCACTTGTCGATGCGCTTCCACCCCCCCCCATTAGGTTCTCCGAAGCCATTGTTTTGTCACACTTCACTGACGACCGATCTAGCTGCCACTGCATAGCGTCCCACAATGCCTTCTCAAAGGACAGTGGGAGATTCTTCTCCTTTCGCTCCTCCACTGACAGATCCCAATACGATGGCTGGCCAGATGCTTCACATTTCTCGATGATGAGCTTCGCCGTCTGCAGCATGTTCGACCATTTCTTCCTGCAGTCCTCAGCGCTCCTCTGTTTGAACCCGGCGTCCCTCATCCTCTCGTTCACCCAAACATACCGCTCCTTCCTCTGCTTGAAACGGTGTTGCCCGTGGGCATCTGCCATCAGGGCATCATCCTCACCCATCAACATCGCGAGCTTTACCCGCTCATCCAACGTCCATGGTACGTTTTGTTTCTTCGGAGCTGGCGGACGAGCGTTCGCAGGCCGTCCGTTACCCGCCTCGCCCGCTCCACCACTGTTGAGCACATCGCTTTGATCGCCCATGGGATCGGCACTTCCTTGCTCCGCAACGCCGTCATCGTCMCCCGCTTCAGAACCGCCGACACCGTCATCGTAAGGCGGGTCCATGCGCGTGTCAGGGGACATCGGCCTCGGGTCCGGCCGGGTCCAGGTACTCTCTCTATCATCACCGAGTGCTCGAGACGGGGAAACCCTCGCCCCGAACAATCGGCCCAGGCTCTGCCCACATTGTGGAGACCATGGCCTGCCACCCATGCCCATGGACTGTGTGGACAGTGACGCCATGCTGAAACCTGCACCGCTGGTCGGACCTTCTGCACACGGCCTTCCTCCATACACGTCGGAAGGCTGATGTCCGTGCACAACATGGTCACCAACACCGTACGAGTCCAGCTGGTGCAACTCCCCTGCCGGCGGACCTCATTGCACACGACTGACGTGCATGTGCTCACTCAACTGCCCGCCGTATGGTCCATGGAATGCGGACGACGGAATGGGCGCCGTTGCACGGAAACACGCACGTCCAGCCGGCGAAGCAGATTGCCGACCACCGTTGAAAAAGGGCATGCTCGTTGTTGCTGGGCCGCGCGACAGAGGCCGTGCGTGCACATGCCCGTCGTGCATGTCACGGCCACCGCCGAAAGCAGCCTCGCCTCTCACTGTCCGCCGATTGGAGTCCATCGCACGACTCCCGGGTTGAAGAAGGCCACCGCCTCCACGAAAGGCGAGACCTTTACCTGCCCCCCGACTACAGCTGGACTACCGAAACCTGCACACCAGGATGGCGACGCCGAAGAAGAAGAGAAGTGACAAAAGCAACAACAGGCTGGCGACGAACAGGAGTCTCAGAACCAACAACAGTACTGCCCCCACAATCACCGGTGATGTGCCACCACCGACCCCAACTTCGCAGCAGTTCGTGACGACAACGACAACAGAACACCCCACCGAAGAACACCACCCACAACCCCTGCCTGGCCCGTCACGACAACCAGTCGTGCCCTGTCCAATCCCAGTCACCACGTGTCCGCTGTTGGTCTGCTGCCGCTCCCCAACTTGGCTGCAACCCTGTGCTTGTTGAATCCACAAAGGACGACCTCCGCTGCACATCGGTTGTCGAGGCGACAGTGGTACGAGAGAAGGTGACGCGGACGGCCGTGGAACAAGGGACGGGCCGGAGGACTGTACGGGAGACGACAGGACCACGTCAGCGCATCCACCTCAACGATAAAAACCTCGAAACACTTCCCGCCCAGGGAAGACAACAGGAGAGCGCAGCACTGTCCTTACTGCAGCCGAGGCATCCGTGTGCGAATGCCGGGGACATGGTAGAAGACGGTGGACCGGCGTCGCAGCACTACAGCAATAAGCGGCACGGCCGAAACAACCGATGCGATGGAGCAGCCGCATGGCAGATCGACCGTCCACCTCGGCGTGCTGGTATGGCTTGCGATGTCGTGGACTCACGTCATCGACGGGCATGCAAACGTGTGAACGTCCCTGTATCGTCGGCCAACCACCCCGCATGCAACGGCTTGCTTCTGTTGTCGGCCAGCCACCCGCCTGAACTGCAACTGCCCATAGCCTTTCGGAATTTGAATTTCGGCCACCGCCGAAATTCGAATTTCCGCGTTCCCGCCAGCTGCCCACAGTGGAGGGTACCACCGCACGGGTGATCCATGTGGTACCGCGGACGACCCGTCTGTGGGACTCGTGTGACGCCAAATGTGACCGCACTGCGGAGGCCTGGTCCACCCTCTAGTCCGCGGCGCCCATGCACTGGACCGAACCTTGCCACTCCCCGCTGCCAGCAGTTGGCGCTTTGCCCCACCCCGCCAAATAAGCCGACTTTGGAAAAGGAAAGCCGCATCCTGGCGCGGACTTTTCCAGCCGCCGACCGAGTAGAATCACGCCCGCCGTGCTTTCCAGGACGGCAGTGGGGTCTACAAAACACGTTCGCGTCTTTCCAAACCACCTCCCGGCGGCCTGGTGGGGTCCGAAATCGACTTTCCATGCCAAAAGTTTTCCAGCCCCCGGCCAGTGGGGTCCAGGCCTTCGTTTTTTTTTTTTGGGCTCTGAGAAATCCAACCTGAAATGTGAAATTCAGATATCGTGGTGGATCGGACAGGAACACTTCCGCTTCTGTTGGGTGGCCTGTCCGAGGCATCATGAGATACACCGTAATGAATGTATCCCCGTATCCATTACTTGTTCATCCTCGTGACTGTGTTCGTGGACACATTTTATTGCCACGGTACATCACTATGCAGACTGACATGAAGGAGATCGTACCAACCAATGAATTGGGGTGCAACGGATGTAGGAGGCACCAAAGCACTCATGACTGACACACATGCTGGCAGCACCCCGTGAATACAGGCAACAAAAAGAAAACAAAAAGAGAAAAACTAACATTCGGTGCCCTTTTTAAATGGAAGAAATCATTTAAACAATTGCAGAAAATACCGAAAATGGTGTCACACCTCGTGATTTACTTCGCTAGTGGGTCAAGGCCCCTGGAGGGATCCCACTACCCATGGATTTGGATTAGTGTGACGGGTGTGGGACGGGTGGGGGACAGGTGGGTGGCAGCGTGAAATAGGGAAAATAAATGCAAAAAACCATTTCATGACCAAACAAATGAAGGAATAAAATCAAAAAAAGAAAAGAAAGTGCTCTTCTCACAGATGGTGTCTGCTCCAGCAGGGGTGTCAGATGTCAGGGCATGATTCACTGACCATGGCTTGGCAGTCGAGACAACTACATGTGAGCCGGCACATGGACCATATTCATTGACAATACTCTGAGGCTTCCTTGAAATGGGCCACATTGCACGTTATAACTGGGTTGTTCTGACATAACTTCTCTTTGACAAAGGAGGGCAAGACTAACTGCATACAGCACTTGCTGTAGGTGAGAGGATCGAACCCTCCAAAACACCTCCCAAACCACAATCACTTCTGCCTGCCTGTCTTCCAAGCACACACCTTCCAATGACACAAAGGCGAGTAGAAGGTGTGTGAAAATCATCACACAAAAAAAAATGTTATGATTTCCACTCACGTTTGGGACCCCAAGAGGAACACTTGTTCAAAAAGAAAAGAAATACCACCCATTGCAATGGGAGACCCCCAAAACACACATATGTCCCCGTGCGTAAATACAAATAAAAACACACCGCAGATATCCAGTCCGATCCACGGTGCTTCGGAGTCACACAACCTCTCCACTACTCCACATACATGGGTAGTGGGATCTGCCTCCTGTAGGCTGTTTCGTTAGTGGCGATGTACTCTGCTTGAAACCGGGGGCCAAGTCCCACTAGCAGCATTGGGTTCCCTCAACGTCTGAATCTGGACGTGTTTGTGGAGATGTGCGGTTGAGCCAGTTTCTGCACATGGCAGCAAACACGTCCAGATTCAGGTGTTGAGGAAACTCAACTTTGCTGCTGGGACTTGGCCCTGGGGGCAAGTCCCACTTTCATGGATACAAGTTCTTCCCACTGCGCACAGGGCGGGCCAAGGGGTGGGGAAAAGGGCGCAGGGGTTTGGAAAAGGATATGCTAGGAGCGGGAGAAGGGAGGAAGGGGGGAGAAAGCATGGCAGAAAGAGAGGGGGGGAGAGTCCTCCTCCTCGTCATTCTTTCCTGTTCATTATCTTTTTTTTTTTGAACCACCAGTACGTTGCCCAACCATTTTCTCAGTGTCACAGCATGCTTGCAGCTGCCACTCTGGGGAAGTACCTGGGTGCCATTTAGTTCGGCATCCATTTAGTTGGGCAAAAGGGCAGCATGCAAGGCCCGTTTTGCCTGGATGGATATCCAGCTACACGGCACCCTGGTACTGCCCCAGAGTCACAGCTGCATGTGCGGCGCTACTCTGAAAAAATGGCAGGAAAATGTATTGGTGGGTTATGCACCACCACTACCTCTTACTACGGTCTTCACATGAATACACACCGTCATTACAGCTGTACTTGGGGCAACTTGCAGTCTAGATACACAGCAATAATGACGGTAAGTTGTGTTCTGCTGAAGACTGTAGCTTCTTTTTAAACCACCACTCTACCGGCTTCTTGGAAATTGCCCTCCCTCTGAGTTCCGGCGGATTTTTCAGGGGGGGCGTCTACCATAATTGCCAATAGGCGGGCCTCCCTAGCCATGCAATTTCAAAGCGGCCAATTTGGCATTTTTTTGTGCTCATAAGAATTCACAGAAAGCTTTTAAAATTTGGAGGCTCCCTAGATGAGGTCATGATCTTTCCAGGAAAAATATCAGAAAAGAAAAGAAGAAAAAAAAAAACATTTTGATTGTAAAATAATCACCGAGCCTATTCCGCGCATTTCCATTTTTGCTCGGCTAACAGATTCTGAAGACGTACCGCAACTTTGCCGATTTTTGTGCTCAGAGGAATTCACAGAAAATTATAAAAATTTAAGGGTCCGTAGATTAGGTCATCTACGGTCATGACCTTTCCAGGAAAGAACTCATGCGTGTGTGTGCTGTTGAAATGCCAGCCCTGGCTGGCGATAGTGGAGCAGAAAAATGGATGTCCAGATGCCCTGTTTGCACTCCAAGTGAGACGTGGCCATTCACGTTGGGCCGCTTGTGCCCTGGGGTGGGTTGCTTGCTTGCTGTAAGACACAAGGCTTTCACACTTAACGAGTACTAGTCATTAAAGGGGGTGATAAAGGGGGTGATAATTGGAACTCGGTGAACGTCACAGAAGTAGATGCCAATTAATTACTCGTTTAAATTTATTGCAAATACCTCTCTGCCATTTTATAGCATTTAAAAATTTATAGCATTGACTGTTTCTTTTGATTAGTGTCATTATTAGACTGTTGGACTGACCGATTGCCTGTTCTGACAGACACTGTGATATTGATCTGCAATCCCCTACGCTTGTTAAGGGCCGCGCCGCACCACTGTCGAAAATGCTATTTTGGACAGTTCCTCTTCAGCACACAGGCTGTCGAAGTAGGAGACGAGAAGAAAAATTGCAAGTTGTCAGAGAATGCTTCCTGACACCTCCTGTCGAAAGTCGTTGATTCCCCAGCCTGCTACTCCGATGCTTTCGACACTCCTCAGCTGCACCGTCGACTTCTCTTCAAAATTTGGTGAGTGGGGATAAGGTCGGGATGGACTGATGCTTGTCGTACCCTCAGGAGCGT